TATCTGAACCAATGGGAGAATTTCTAGCGGGAGCCATTTTTGTTTTATGGTAATTTGGGTGTGGTTTTTTCATTTCAATTCTGAAGAAGGGGATCGTTTTTGGGGAGACTCGCGGTTAGTACGTCAAGCGGTCAACACGTACCTTGAGCGATCGTTTTGGTACACTTGGCGGTTTGAGCCACCGGCTTATTTCGGTTGCTCCCAGTTGCGTGCTTTTTGCACCCGTTCCGAAGTGTTATTTTCTTTTCGCGTTGATTTTTTGGCGAAGAAGACCCAGGTTCCAATCAGGTGATATTTGGGCGAACCCTTGAGCTTCACCCCAGTTTACTTTGGATGCAGTGAATCGCGTTAGGATACGTTGTGATTTCTCGAGGATATATAAATCAAAGTGCTGCCCTAGTCCTCAAAGCGCAGAATTTCGGGATCCGCCCAGGTGGAATTTCCTATTAGTGCCGTACGGTCATTTGTCGAAGGAGCGCTGCGTTTCGGAGAGATATTTGCCCCAAGAAGAGCTGGTGAAATAATACTTTGAACCATCGCGGTTTACCGTCGGATAGTGATCATAAAAGTTTGTGTTCTGCCGTACCGCTGACTCAAAAATCCGTCTCCCGCAGGCAATCAAAGCTAATAAACTAATAAAATAAAATTAAGTACCCGTGCTGCCTAGAAACTTTGGCAACTAGCCGTCTCCCACTCGCCACGCGAAGGGTTTCCTGGACTAAGTTTCCGTTCAAACACTAAACTTTGCTTCGTTCCGAGGAAGGATAGGCACCGTGGATTTTTGTTTCCGTGTGTTAAATTCAAGCCACCCCCTAAGAAGTCACAGAGACCTAAGTGTCAGGTTTCATCACATCCACCCTGTACCAGAGGAAAGACCAGTTCACAAGATCGGCTGTACAAATGTTGTAAAGGTTAGTCTAAATTAAATTTGTAATATTCTGTAAAATTCCACTTTTTGGTAATTAAGCTATAGTAAAAAAAAATTTTGATTTGATTGTTTATTAAAGTCCAATGAACGATTACCGAAGAGTAGGATAAATTTTTGTGTTTATTTAAATAAGTCCCAGCCCACGCTGGATTAAAAACGATTACCTGTTGTTGCAATTTTCAAACTGTAGAGGATGGCCACCCCTTGAGTAAATTAGTTTCACCTGATAGGATTTTTTATTTAGTTTAGTTGTCATTGTTAAGCTAGTGTTTTTACAAGGAGAAGAGAAGAACTGCTAGATCCCTGTAAATTGTTTGTATCACTAATCTCATTTCAATATATTATCTATTTGGTTTCAATGTGCCTGTTTTTAACGAAGAACGAGGGGAAGGAAAGGGAGGAGTAGGAGTTAAGGCAGAAGACTGGTAGGCGGCAGTTTAAGGTTTGTTACGCAGTTTCAAAAGAATAAAAGCCCACCGATTTGAGTTAGCCGGAGCATTTATTTTTATCGATTGAGCAGCCTAAGAAGAAGACGGTTTGCCTTGCCGGGCGGAACCGATGGTAATCTTCAAATCCAGAAGGAACCCCCGTAGCAACATGGCAACTTTTTTTTTAAACTTAATTTTTATGGTAGGTACTTATACAGAATTGTAAAAAGTTTGCTACCTACTTTTAATGTATTGTGACGTTCTTCTACGTGGTCAAGGGGCACATATTTTTTAATAGCAATTACTAGTTTCCATTACATGAATTAGAACACACTTTTTTGGATATAGCAGCACAAAAGGTGTGCACTTTAGGATCTATGTAATAAAAAAATACTGGTTGCTTTAAAAACAATATGCCCCTCTTTGCCATGAGAAAGTACGCCCCTGATCACAAATTTAAAGTATTAGATTGATAGCAAACTTGCATGGGACACGGTATATCAGAGGCTAGCTTCGATTCGCGAATTTCCAGTACCTATGCCCAGTCGAGTAGCTGAATGCGCAAGAAACACACTGGATGAGGTACACATTATTATAGTGTGACTTGATTGTTGTAATTCCTTCATGTTGAAATTTTCATCGGTTCTTATTTCGAAATAAATACAACTGTTCTGAAAATTTCAACATGAAGGAATTACAACAAATTCAAAATATTATCATGATCGTTTCATGCCGAATGTGGATAGCAACTTTCTTATTTTAAATAGAACACCCTGTAATTTAATGCATTTTCTACATTTTCATGAAAATCTATGTCGTTTGATTTCCCTACATCCAGCATCAAAGGTTTTCAAGATATTCACGATTTTTTAAAATTTTTGACACTTCTTTCATTAACAGTAAATATCGCATGCCACTGGATTTATACACAACTTCCTTGGGAACATTCAACTTATAAAATAAACGTGTATGCGCTCATAAACACTTCACTCATCCATCGGGAGTCTAGAGAGGCTTCCAATGGCGCGCATGATTACCAACTTTATACCTATCTTTGTTCGTATACCGTTTTCGCTGTAAGAAGCTTTGCACGTATCAACAGAAGAAAATGACATGCCAATTTAAATCAGGATTTGGCGCACTTACATTCATTCTTATTTAGTTACTTTTTAGCGGAATACGTTGGCAGATTCGGACGTTGCCAAATGTTATTTGCGGAAGCTATAAATTTAAACATTTCGACGGTTAACGTAAGCTGTTAAACAAAATGAAGCTTTAATATTGCCAGCAAAGAATCGTTGCCGAAATAAGAAAGTTACAGACACACATTCATTGAGTATTACGTGGTGGAATATACGACATGTATGCAAATAGTACCTCGGTGTAAAGATAATAAGTTAATCATTAATTACAGCAAGATCAGTGAAATGCATGTTTACACGTCATACTCAAAATGCTGCCGATATTATTTTACTTTTGGGCGCTTCTTCTATAAAAATTGACTCCTAACTCTCTGCACTTTCTTTGGCCATCGCATGTATTAGCGTTTGTCCGAAACTTAAAAAGTGTTGTTATACTCTTAGTGTTTTTCTGTTCTTTCTGATGGCATAGCACCCCCACGTGAGATACAAAGCTGCTTCATTCTTATGAAATTAGAAATAAAACATTGATACGAGCATAACATCCCACAAGCAATATATCACGCGTTGAAAAAAGCTTTTTGCGCGACTCGCTATCAGGCTTCATTATACCTAATATATGTCTTCGAAAAAAATAAACTTTAAACAAAACTTAAAATAAGTATCTATTGTTAGCAAACTGCTGTTAGAATCTGGACGAATTTGATCAGTTTTAAAGGTTAGGTACGTACTTACTGTATTGTAGGTAAATCTCTCGACGTTTGTTTTAGTGCTTTCTCAAGAACTGCATTAAAACACATATACTTACTAATAAATATACCTAATTATTATTTTGTTTGTGTTATTTCTAATATTAATGAAAACGGTAGGTAAACATGTAGGTAAAAGTAGGTACCTATATCTGCCTAATTTTACAGAATATATTATTTTGATGTCTGCGTTAATATTGATCGGGTGTGTTAGAGCAAAACGTTAAAATATAACAGGAGCAAGGTTAAAAGAGATGCGCAAAAGTGGCAGGTAAGAAAATTATGCGTAACTTGGTGTGTAAAAGTATATATCTTTTATCATACCACCGAGAATGTACAAATTTGCTTCTTTTTAGCAATACTTTATGTCTATTCCGCTATTCCCGAAGCTGAAATTGGAATAAAACGGCGTACGTAAAAAGATTAGCTTTTCGATTTTTCCGACGAACGCAAAACGGAATTAATTGAAGATTGACAAGCAGCATCAATTTTCAGTAACTTAACATGGGATTACGTCCTGAAAACACCAGTTGCCGACGCATTGTCAGAAGGGGGTTTTCAGCCATTAGGTTTCTCCTATTGGATCAAATCGCGCCTGTGTAAACATAGTCTACATTTTGAAACAGACAGAAGTTTTCCCGGTGACTCCGCCAACAGGCTCATGTATGCAAATATGTTTACGATGTCGTGACGTAACACTACTATTGTTAACATATCATTGATTGTTAAGTTCATGACCTACACTACTACCAGGGAAAGCGGTTTCGCACACAAAAGAATTGCGGACAATACGGAAATGAATGCAATTTGAGGAAATCACGAATCGATGCTCGCTGCCATTCACACTTACGTTTTGTGTATCGATTTGTACCGCGCGTATTCAAACAAAATTACTACTTTAATATACTTGTTTGCCTTCAATCAGGTTCATTCTTAAGAAAACTTTTCGTTTGTAAACTTTGATGCCTAAATGACGATCCTTTTTTATCGAACAATTCACTCCACAAAGCCGACACGAATAGGTGTTTTTTTTTCATTTTTCTTTCACCCCTTGTCACTGTTTACTTGTGGAAACTAAGCATTGTGGGGTGATTATTGGAGTTTTCCTTCAAACCAAAATTTTCTTCGGCCCATTTATTAGACGTTAGCTTTCTGTATGTAACGAGAGATTGTATGAAATAATTTCCTTAATTTCTCACTTATCATCCAATCAATGCCTCTTGGATGAGTTTCGTTCTTAAAGCTAAAGCATTGGTTTTAATAAGGAAATTAAATCAAATATTTGTAAGCGAACAAATAGAAAGTTCTCAACCCCAGACGGATAATATAATGGGAAGAAAATACAGTGGCACATCGCGTGTCGTTCAACATTAATTCACTCAAGTGTGTTTATTCGATTATTTATTTCATCATCACGCGGCACCCTCGGATCCTATTTTTCACGCGTTACTAATCGCAATTTGACATGCTACGCCTATTTAAGTTCGACCCTGTACCCTTAAATTACTAATGGATTTCATTGCGAAAAGAAAAATGTCAAGCTTTAACCGGACATAACATTTTTGAATTAGGCAAGTGGTCGCGTTTTGGGAAAATGAATCACTGCGCCATCTCTTAGTCGTTGCTTGTACCATCACAGTCCTGACACAAACCTCCCCTGTACAGCATTCAGGATTCTATGATAAATTCCCACACGTTTGAACAGAGGGCGACACCAGTTCCATTCAAGCGGAAAGTTTTGAAATTTTAAGTTTTATCGTAAACGCATGTATTCCATACTTTTATCATTCAATTTGATAGATTATATCAGTCAATAAGTGCGCATCTAAATGAATACATCTGTGTGACACTTAAAAGTACGCTAGAGTGACTGTAAACACCACAACAATGCCTGTAAGTGTAAATTTATCTCATTATTATATTTACTTACCTTTCAATTACCAAGTTGGCATATTTCAAATGTTAGGGTCAAGCATGCACATTCTATAACAAAATCAACAATATGTACTTAAACAAAATATAGGCGCCTTTCCAATCAAAACACCTTTGAAAAGATAATTATTTAGAAAAAAGGCGGTCGCAATTACGCAGCAAACTCTTTATCTTGTTTTTGGATGACCAAATAAGAATTGCAGGTGCCTATGCCTTATGGACTAATGGAATGATCACGAAAATTACCTTTTTTATATAATTGTGACCTAGATATGTGATGGAAAGGACTAATTGTTTATGACAATTACCGCTATTAGGGTGTAAAACGTGGAGTTAAAAACGAAAACCGTTTTTTCGTACCTAAATCGAATAGCAATATGGTGAAAAAGGCTATTTTCGTAAAGTGGTAAATATTGAAAACAGGCGCTAAAACCGCGGCACTCGCGCGAATGCCTGTGCCTACTTTCGAAATACTTTTATTTGATTTGCAATTTTGCAAACCGTTGTTGAACAGGGTTGATTATACAGTTGATGAAAACGACCACTGATTGTACTGTTAGGGAACTTCTGGATGGATCAAATTTAATAGCACTAAAGATCTCCTAATTTTTGCCACTTTTTCTTGTGGGCAAAAATTCATGAAAGAAAGACCGTGCATTTTTAATTGGCTGGAGGTTGCGTTTTATCAAAGGTTTTATGTAAACCTGTAAATTGTATTTAATAATCCGGTTTTCTTCTCAGGCAATTCATTTCCATTTTGGGTAGAGTAAGACTTATTATTCCATGTACGAATTTTCTTGGTTATTGGAGTAAATCACAAAAGTTACAAAGAAGAGGCGGTCTAGGTTATCTCCAATGAGAGTATTTACGAGTATAATTACGTTGCATGGCAGGTTCTCGAATTTAATATTCATGTTTCCAGTTTGAACCATTTGAGTGGAACCCTGAAGCACAGATTTAATAGTATTTTACATTATTAGCCAGGTAAGTGAGTTTTTACTGGCGATAGGAGAAGTTGACTGGCGAGCCGTTAGGCGAGCCTGTCATCTCCTAGAGCCAGTAAAAACTATTACCTGGCGTATAATGTACAATATTTTATTTGTTACTCATTTGTAAACGTAAATAATTAGTTCTTAAATTGATCTTGAAGAAATGTCTAAAATATCATGTGATCCATGTAACAGAGACTTCGCATTAATTCTGGCCAATGAAATTACTAGATTACTAACTTGTAAAATTTTTACAGGTCTGCTGTCAGTTTTACAAGTCTGCTGTCAGTTTTACAAGTCAGTAGCGTTTAAACATGACGTTTACCCGTTTGCGTTTTGTCTTGTTAATCAACTTACAACTGAGTAACAAATAAATATTTTAAATCTGTGCCTGAAGTTTAGGAAAATTTGATGGTATGTGGGAGAAGCATAGAACTTTACAGTAGGTAGCTCAAAAAGGACGGAGAAACTGTTGATTTTTATAGGAAATTCAGAGAAACAAAGGGGGTGAGGGGATTGTTAAGGGTACCTATTTGAAGAGAAACTTGAGGAGAATTTGAGGGGAAAGTTCATAAAATATGAGAAGAAGCACAAGCGAAAAGTACAGCGAGACTTGAGCTAAACGTGGGAGGTACAATCAATTTCAGAAGGAAAGGAACTTGAGAGGAATTGATAAAAACTGAAAGGTAACACGCGAAGTATCGAAGACCAGGAATTAGAGAACTCTGAAGCAACTTGTAACCTGTAAGAAGCATGAAGGACATTAACTCGGACATTAAGGAGATATAAAGTTGAAGAGAATTTTATTGAAACTTTAAGGAAACTTGAAGAACTTGGGAAGCGACCCAAGCGATTCAAGGGCCCTTGATGATTGTGTAATAAAGTCCGAGCGATTTCTGTGCCGCCGGAAGGAGGGCAGAGGGTTTAAGGTACAATTTTGCGGTTTTTCGGATATTTTTCAGAAATAGTGGGTCGTAGGAAAAAATGTTATCAAAATCGAAAGCTCATCAAATTTTCTGCAACTTTTTTCCAAAAAACACATCGTTTTCCAGCTACAGGCCCTTGAAGGTGATGAATTGTACTCACGTTTTCAAGCCATTTTTTGCCGTTGTTTTACTACCAAACTTACATAACGTAACTATTCCATCTCGTCACAGAGTGTTTAAAAGGGTGCCACTGTCACAGAAGGAGAGGCAGAATCTAAAGCATTTATTTTTCCCTGATAAACCAATGGTCCATAGTGGATCATTTAGGAGCCCTGCCCCCAAAATTCGCGGTTCTGATTTTTTTCAGGAACTATAACCAAAAAGTGGTTACTCTTTGCTATAACTGATAGATATGGATGGTATTTTGCAGCTTTCCTTGAGTGTTTGAGTATATTCTTTCTGATTATGTGAATTTTCCCATAAAATTTTGTACTTGTTTTTGTACAATCGAATGTCGTATCCAAAGTTCGAGAAAAAAATAAAATTCCAACTGCAAGTCTGGACGGGGCCATTAAGTTGGCCAGAACTTCAGTAGTTTTGGTGAATTTAAGTTCGAGATAAGAGGGCCACCTCAATATCTCTTTTATTTGGCGAAATAGGCAATTATGTCAAACATAATTATACAGGGGAGTTTTTTCCGATGTTTAGTATGGGGCTGAGAAAAAATCAGGAAGGGTTTGTTAAAACCATTTTTTAATATCTTTGTAAAATAAATGTTCACCATCGCATTTTCGAAAAATTTTTCGGTTTTTTTACCTGTCGCTGTTGCGATTTTATCGAGTGTTTTCCGTTGCAACAAAACTTTAGCGTAAAAATTATCCGATTAAAAATCAAGGTCTTGTGTCTTTACCTCAGATTAAATCACTGCTGATCGTTTGTGAATCCAGATTTCCTAGATTTTTTAAATGCATTTTCGCTTGCACTGATTTCTATACATCATTCTATTTACAACTTTACAAATAATTTCTTCTTTTCTGCTTTGGAGTTTGAAGAATTTGCGAAAAACTAAAAATACATTCCAGCATTTTTTTCTCGACCACAATTATATCAAAGTTGCGTACCCGAAACTTCTATTATTTTCGGAAATTGCTTATAGCTGCTTGGGTATTTTAATACATCTTTTACATCATTCACACCTCCAGATGCAGTGTCGGGTCTTAAATTAATTATAATTAATTACATGCGTAATTTTTCGATAACGCTATCTTTGTTTTTCATCCCAATGATGGCAAACTGACATATAATTGAATTGAAGTATTAAAACACAACATAATCGCCTTGTTCTGCCATTGTGACGTTTGAAAAGTAAGTACTCTATGTCCCATAAGCACAATCTGCATCTGGAGGTGCGAACGCGCTACAGTAATATTGCACTTACCTAATTTTAATGAGATCTCATCAAATCATCAGATTAATGCTGTAATTACTCACCTGTAACAAATGAAACATATATTAGTTTATATTGTAATTGTAAAACATTGTGTATACTATGCACTTCATTTTTTCATCTTTTCATTAAATGATGAATTTTAAATTTTTAGTGCCAAAATTGCTTTCAGAGCTGCTTATTATGGTTGTCGGTAAAGGAATGGTAACAACTTCCTGATTAACTTTCTAGTCATTGGTTATCATAATGAAATTAATGGAAACAAACATCATTTCGTGTTTGGAGATATGAAACAAATTAATATCATGATCTTATCGTACATAATATGTTTGCGTATAGGAATAGCTACCTTCTGGAGTGCAATATATTTTTTGACAACAAACAAAAATGAATGGAAATCTTTTGTTCAGAAATCGCATAGTGTACGTGAACCTTCTCATTTTTACGACCTATTACAACTTCAAAAATTAGGATTCTTCATTAGGTAATTCCAAAAACAAGACTTAAAACAAAACTTATTGAACTTGCAAGGGGAAGGAATTTTGATCATTCTAAATGGCACAAATTTATTTAAGGTTGTTGATCTTTCATTATACACAATTTATGCGGTTTCGGCTATTTAGACTTAAAAAATTATTATTTTCCCGAAAAGTAAACGAGATAGGTTGGTAGCGCTTATAAATCAGAAATATGTTTCTAGAGAAAACATGGAATATTCTGGAAGAGTTTAGAAAGCGTATCATATTTTAGGGAAAGAAATCGTCGCTTCCGCTTGACTAATCTTTTATAGACTTGATGGCGCCTCGATGTGTGGATACTCCATACTCGCTACAATCATTTCAATGAATTGAATTATTCGTTTAATTGCGAACTTTAGCCAGCAGTATTAGAAAACAGGGCCTCCCCCAGGTTCTTATGTATCGTATCCTAGAATCTCAGTACTTTACCCAATATTCTAAGGGTATAAGAGATTTGAGTTTCTCCCTACTAAAATTTGGTCCCCACTGAACTTAACTCGAAACAGATTCTTCACGACGACTTAAATCTCACTCCCTAACTTTCTTCCACAAGGCTATACCATTAGTCAACACTGGCTGTCTTTTTAAAAAGCTTCGATAACGGCAACATTGCCAAACATTTACAAAACAATAAGCGGCTAAATGAAATTCAACATACAGGGTGACCCATCGTTATTATAGGTACTTAAGCCAAACAAAACATCTGCATGACATAGTTTACATAACAATATTTTGGCAGTTTGTTTAAACACACCGGTGTCCGAATTTTGTACATCCGAGATCCTACGAAATAGAAAGAGATTCTTGGAAATCCCTTGAGATCATCGGAGATTTGTTGAAAACTGCGGTAATTCCTGAAATCCCGAAGTTGAAATTCTAAGGCGTGTTTTGAAATTCTGTAGTATTGATCCTATTGATACTAAAGTGATAATAGTTTGACACATTCTCAGAAATTGTTTAAAATTCTCTGAACCCATTGTTAGGTTCTTGGAAACTTCTGAACCTTTTTAATGTTTTCCAAGGCTTTTGGATGCCTTTTGACCTTGCCGAAACCCTTTAACACTATATAAAAATGTACCAGTCCTGTAAGTCACTGAAACTTTCCGAAACAGCATGAGACTCAATGAAACATTTAAAATGATCTATAGTATCCTAAAACCATCTAAAAAATTAAATTTAAACATGTTTTTAAACCCCTTGAAACTTCACTGTGAAGAACGAGGTGAAGAGGTGTGCGCAAATAAATCATTTTTTCAATTCAACGTTTTTACGGTTCTGATATGAGGATTTATAAAAGAGATATGTTATCTTTGGAGAGTAGATTACGTGTGGATATGTTTGGTTTGTTAATACTTTCTTCCGTGTCTGTGATACTGATACGCCAATTTTTGGATGATAAATTTATACCAGAGGAATACATTCATAAGAAATACGATCCTCGTCGTTTATAATTTCGAATTGCTATCGGTATCTCTGTCCGGTAATTTAATTTTCCCGCATGAGTACTTTAGGGCAGTAGAATGAATCCATCAAATTAGACGACGGATTTACATCCTGTAAAAGGTTTTACTGTTTTAATAGATGCTCAATATGACCTGAGTTATGGTCACCATACCATTAACTCGGTAAAGACGATCTCAGGAGTAGTGTCTTTTGCTTCGGCGGCGGCGCTCAGCAGATTGGATGCTCTTGGTGTGCAGGTCTTCCGGGAAAAGAGGTCATATAACACTGGCTTGTGTGTCTTCCTCATTTCGATTGCATCGAATAGTGAGAGAGGATAGGGTACCAAATCATAATGGGAGAATTCTTTGAGCTGTTCATCGTATTACTCGAGGGGTGAGCCACCTTAGATTTGAATCCTTGTATAGTCATTAGTCATTTCTCGAGACAAACTCAAAGGTTTGATTGGCCAGGGCGAGCATTGAAGAATTGCCAATTTCAAAAAGGTCATACGGCAGTTGATAGTCATCTGGGACTCCAAGCGTTATCGCGTCGTAAGGTACCTACACTCTGTTTGTTTTAATAAAGAAAAGGATTTAATAGTCGAATTGTTAAACGCGAAGAAAAAACCACGAAAGCAAAGTATAATTTCCTCCCTTGGCCGCGGGAGGAAGTCATTTTGCTCCCATGATATATAAATAGGTATTATTTTCTGACTCAAATGTCCCTTTTTTACATCTGTCATGTTACACCTAGTGGGCGATCAGCATTTCCGTCTTTCTGTCTCTGCATTCAACAATAAAATAAGTTATCTGCATTATCTTCCCCAAATCAAGTCTCATTTCACGCTCATCCTTGATACATCCAGCGCTATCAACGCAAGGCCTTATTACACAACCTAACTGCTCACAAAATGTTTGTTTACAATCGGTTCTTGATAAGTGACAATGTTTACTTTTTAGATGCGGAGTGAATTATCCCTCTCTGTGGCGATGGCGCTATCAGGACTGTCGCGAAACGAATGCGAGCCTTTGGGATACCTCTTCGACGAAGGCGCCAAAATAGTAAATGCCGCATCCAGTTCATCGTCGAGCTCATCATCATCCTCACGCACGTCACCTAGTCTAGCGTCGAGCGAGAGTGGAATAGCCTCATTTTCCACGGAATACTTCACTCCTCCATCGGATGACGGCTTCTCTCTATTCCAATTGGACGAATTCCTCGAGGTTAGTATTTCGCGAGAATATCAAAATATTGGCCTTGTCTCCGTAATCAATATTACCTTATCTCCGGCTATGTTTATACATTTTCTATCACAATAAGATAGCAGAAGTACCCGAATGGTTATTTATACAAAAAAACCAAATAACCATCTAATTGTTTTGCACCTTTCTAGACACTCGACGATCATCAAGAAGACAAAAAAACCGAAGTTCCAATCCCTGTGAATACTTCTCAGGTTATGTGGACGGGAAGAAATATACTAAATTTGTACGCAAATATCCAGGGAAACGCGACAATGTACGCTCAGGCCACGATACCCAAAGGAGTTAGCAGTTACTTTAATAATCGCTCACAGCTCTCCCGCTTGGAGGGCGCAACAGTACCACCACATACCGTCCACTCCTGCTGCAACGGAAGCTGCGAATTTGTCGAATACGTTTTTACGTAAATCACTGTGATTTGATCTCAGATTTTTTATTGTTCACTCAAAGAACTGGGCACTAATACTTTACCAATTATTGGTATACCTACTTAATTTATAAGACTGACAATATGCAATAATTGCAAAAAGTTTATTTATTTCACCGACTTTTTTCTTTTAACTCGTTCCAAATTTCAAAGATCCTTTGATATAAATAGCAGTATTTTAATGTATTCTTTGACTTATGTTGTATCGGTTGTTTAAATGTTAGTATTAATTTAAAAAGGTCTGGTGTGCTTTAAAATTGTGATAATAATGTAGTACTTACTAAGCTACTTTGAAACAATACTATTGTTTTTATACTCTTAACAAATTAAATAGTATTAGGTCTGTTTATTAAAGACTGTTGGATACTTATTCTAAAATTACGTGTTATGAACTAGTTTACTTAATAAATACTAAATTGGTGTTTGAAAAAACTCTTGTTGATAACCCAGAGACAAATTTGTGAATGATATTTATTGCTATGTGCTCGAATGTGTTACAATCAAAAGGCGATAAACGGACACTACGCAATAACTTGATCATTGATCAACATCGCTATTACTAACTTGCGTATGGTTGTGGCTATTAATCAGTTATGTCATCTCTAGAGATAAGCACAACGTTGTCTTCTGAAAAAAAACTTCGTGGCCTCCACAAGCAACGTGTCAGTACCATGACTAAAGTGTTCATCTGACATTGATTATTGAAAGGCAGAAGCTACGCGTTCGTAACGAACGTTTACCTTGTCTCCTGTGCGTAAGGGTCACCCGACAAAATTATCTTCAAGCCCTTGAAAATTCAAAAGTCTAAAAATATAGTTGTGTTTCGCAACACTAAACATGGGGCGCTATGTTACATTTTTGACGTAACAAGTAGATATTTTCAGTTCTTTTTGCAAAAAAATTACTGACAAACCAGTGGACGAACTTGTTTTCTGAAAGCAAGAGATCTTGCAAGCGTTTCTATGTCAAACCCGTATTTCAGCACTCAGTAGAGAGAGATCTTGTAAGTTAGTGATATTTTTGCATATTTAGTGTAAAGCTTGTCATACGCAATTCACACAACAATTAATACCAATTGCGTAAATCCATCTTTAATCACGGTCACATGCATGGGAAGGTTGTATGTAGTATGAGTGAGAGTGGATTATATCTTCTAATCTCGATTAAGAGCGAAGGGTAGGTGCCTGGTGTAAAGTAATGAATGAAATGCGATTTTATTATGACGCCTCTCAATGTTGGCCCTCAATTTCTATTGGTAAAATGATTAATACATTCAAAACAAATTTCATCGTAAGGGGTTGGAATGGATTACCCGTTACTATCGGTGTATGGGAATTTTGATTTAATTTTTGCTTAAATTGGACATCTCTAAATATCAAAAATCGATTTTCATGGACTTACAGATAAAGTGGCATGAGGGGATCGGATGAATTAACCCTAGAATTAACCTCTAGGGTCGATGTAGAAGGTACGGACAGAGCGGATTGCATTGATATTTGTTTAAATTGTCTCCCAATGACAGAAATCGATTTATATTAGAAATAGTGTAACGCAAGGGCAAATTTGTACCAAAACTACCAGGGTGTAGTGGGTGCCCTTTAATGGGGTTCACTTTTTTCGAATTTTCGTTAACGTTGCGAGTTTTTTGAGTGGTAGATGGTATACAGGGTAGCCTTCATAGAGTTAAAAACGACCGTTGATTTTGATAGAGGGCCCTAACTTGAGCTTATTCCATTGAGATAAACGCTAATGGTTAAAGATGACCGATTTACTGAAAAAATTAAAGGGAGGGTAGGGACGCTTTTCGAGGTGACAGCAGTAGAGGATTCCGTTTTGGGCCACCACAGCGAGAAGCTGTTGAGTGTGAACTCACGAAGGCCTGCTAAGTCTGTCAGTTTTTAAAAGAAATAGATCCATTTGGAGCAAAATATCTTAGTAAAGAGAGATAGCCATCGGTCAAATAATAATAGCAGAACTCCATTTTAATTATTACGATTAACGACTTCCAACCCCTGCTTTGCAAGACGTTAGGGGCTGGGTTTTTTTGTTTGAAACGTCTCCCAAAAATTCATTTTTAGTAGGACTAGTACAATGCCGATAACCTTGGTGGTAGTGGAAGCTCCAGTACGACGAAATCGTTCGTATTCGGGTAGCATATAAGTGCGTTGTGGTACAATATCCTTGACCAGGAAAGAATGAATTCAAAGCTAGTTTGTGCCAAAAATGGCAGAAACTGACTACCTTCCTCTTTAAATAATATGTTGGAGAAGGAGAAATTAAAAACTAGTAGGTATAATAAATAAACAAATTAGAGCTTATTATTCCCTTGGCAAATATACTGTTGTGTAAAGTACGTCATGACGTATTGTGTTTCAGCACCTAAATAACGATGTGTATGGGAATTTCAATTATTTTTAATGTTAAATATTGATTGTTATTTGAGACTAAACAGAATAATCATTTCATTTGAATTCGAGGCCAAGGCAATTTTGTTTCAGAATTATTTGGTTTAATTTTGTTTAATTAATCGTTTTGTTTATCTTGATTTGTAATTGTAAAGTTAAAAAATTAAGTTAATTCATCTGGAAATATTTTCGTAGCATTTGTAAAAGCGTTATCTCCGGTCAGCGCGACAAGGTTTCGTTATCGCTGCGTAAGCTAATTAAGTTACATAGCAGATTTTTTTTGGCCAAAGTAAACACAGATGTTAGTTATTCGACGACTCAGCAATTTTGATATGGAGATGGTTCGGAAAGGGAAATGTTTTAAAAGAAGAGGAAGACGTTATTCGTTGCTTTTTATGTGGCCGCTTGTTGTTTTGGTGAATTGCGTGTGTTGGAAGACAGTTCATCTTGCCAGTTGTAGAGTTTTGTGGAAGAAGGTTAGAGAGTGTTTAAAGAGATTTAAGTCGTCGTGATTTCGAGTTAAGTTCAGTGGTGAATCACGTAATCAAAAAACAAATTTTATCTGTTTTAACGTTCATGCGTTTACCGTGACAGGCTTTTTATAAGGTTGTCCAAGTTAGCAGTTAAAGGGACCATCAAGTACCAAATTTTACGTCTAAAATTACAACAAACCGAGTGTCTTCTAAATCAAAAATTAAGTGCTATGAACGAAGTGAAGTTCCCGAAGTAACATAAGTTGGTTTTGATGTTTATTTGTGCTTCATTTGACGACAACTAGGGAATGCAATCCCGCAGCAAAATCTCAATCCCGGTATTTGCGGGATCGTTAGATGTTAATCCCGCGGGATCCCGGTATTTGGGGGATCCTGCAAAATTTTAAATAAATTGGCAAATAAGCAATTTTGTGCGGTTAACTTCTGTATTAAAATAAATCGCTAATTATCACAATAAGTATTCAACAAAAAAGTACCTCCAGGCTAACTTAGACCTCAAAAAAATCACCTGTAAAGTATGGACTACTAATAAAATTACCTTTTCTACTGCGTAAGAAGAAGTGCCCAGTTCGTCTTAGGTCTTACATTGTTATATTCATACCAAATGCCCAATTGCTCAAGTTGTTAGCGACAAGATGCAATCATGGTGTAGGTATTTCACCACCCACTTCTTGGTGGATGGCATTCCATGTTAAGTTAAGAAACCAGCCCCCTTCATGAATTGTTCCTTTGGGTATTGTAACCTCCCACAAATTTTTAAATGGAGCAAGTGGTTAAATGGCCGATAATCTAGGAGTTCTCATTACTTACACAACCATTTCTATTTGTTTAAAATCAATCAATTAGTTACTGAGAACTCTATGATCTCTGTAATTAGCTGATGTCGATTAAATGAGAAGAGAACAGAGACAGAACGGCTTGCAGAAAGGTTTTCTACATTGAAATTTCAAAAAAATTCAGAGGAAGAACGGCTGTGACGGGTTTTTACATTATGACTGTGGTAGTAAGATTACATCAATTCTTGGGGTAAGTTTTCGGAGGTAAACCAAAGAATTAGTTTACGCCACCCCTATTTGCACTTATATTTTAAAATACGCACTGCATGTTCTGAGTTCGGGAATATACTACATAGGCATCTCTTCTGCGAACCCCGCAAACAGCTTTTTGCCACGAAAAACACACAACACATAAGTTTTCTAGATTTTTAAACACCATCGATCTCCATATTTAATTCACAATATCGAACGATCAAGTTTTTGTCCACAAACGCCAGGACTGTTAATTAGAGTCAATTTCCAGTGCCCCGAGAAAAGTCAACAGTAAATTACATAAAATAATGCCGATGCGTTCGTTTCCCCCAAATGTGTTTATGAAGTGATACGATTAAGAAATGCGACATGAGTAGGTTAAACTAGGGTGAAAACTTTAAAGGGATAATGAATTAGTGGCACAACACCCTTCTGCTTTATTATGTGTAATTTAATATGAAAAATGAACTAAAATGTCATGGGGGGATTAAGCGATTGACATATGACGAATAACACGAAAATTAAAATGCTACAATAATCACGAATTAAACGAGAAACGATTAAGAACAATCGTACCCATTGTAACAGGTGTAACGCATAAAATTAAAAACAAAAAGATAGGAAAAATAATTAATATTCAACAACAAAACAAATTCTCTAGACGTCAAGGCAATAGTGTTATAGCCGGTATTACAATCAGGGCTAGCGATGGCCAAACAAAAGACGAGCCAAGCAAAAAAAAACCGTATTGTTTCAATTGTTCAGAGAAGACAAACAGATGAATGCAGTTTTTAATTACATCACTATGCCTTTTGTTTCATTGTGAATGCGGCGATCATAGATATTGTGGCACATTTTTCCCCTTTTTCAACGCTTTTAAGTATACGTGTTATTAAAAGCAATTGTTACCTACATATTTTTGGATATGATGGCGTTTAAAAAAAAATTGTCATTTTTCGGTACAGTATTTTGTGATGTAACATACACAAGCAGTAACTACTGTAATAATTTATAAAATTACCACTCGAATAAACCAAGAACGAAAAGTTTATAGTGCTTTATGTTGGTGACAATTCTCTTTAAAATTACACGCGAAGTGAAGACAATAATTCATATATTTGCAAAGAAACCGCAATTTACTAATAGAACCAACATTGCATAGCATTAATAATAAATTATTATCGGCGCGTTTTAAACTGCTTAAAAATCAGATTTACAATTTCTTTCTAAAAACTTTACCGTCGTTTGCTTGAACTCCTCACATACTGGTTTTTCTTTTGGTACATTTATTTCATACAGTGAGTAGCGAAAGGTAAAAATATAAAGAATTTTATATCAG